CTGGACTATAAAATTAAATAACTATTTATTATTATAATTAATTTAGATTTAGCTTGCTAATCTAATCAAATCTAATTGATATAAGTTATCATTATTATCAGTTTACTCCTTAAGTTTTAAAATTAGAATCACTGTTATAATTTTGTTATATAGTTTCTACACTATATATATATATATATATATTGAAATTATGATGTTGTTTTGAATATGTATAACATTTTCATTTGGTTCCATATAAAATGTAAGGCAGTGTAGGCAGTGAAAAAAGAAAGAAAAGAGAACTTTCTAAATTTAGCTAAACAAAGCCATTGTATTTGTTTGCCCGACTTCAAGATGGCTGCATCAAAATCCCGGAGAGTAAACAAACATCAGACGAACTGCAGCCCATGGCGTCTTTCATCGGCTGCACAAAAATAGAAGACCAAAGACAACACACAGAACTTTGACAAGTCTGCCTACACGCGCCACAAACCATTTTTAACCATTGCCTAGCTTATATATATAGGACATGGGGGCTTGAAATACTCTTTTTGTAAATGTAGCAACTCTTAGATATAGCCTCTATTTTAAAATACTTATATTTACACTTCATATATTTGTTAATAAATTAAATAATTATGTAATTATTATTGTTTTGGTGTATACTTAGAAACCTCAAGGAAATATTCTCCAATTGAACTCAAGTTTTAGAGCTAACTTAAATTAATAGTTTTACTTTCTACTAATGAAGTAAATCGATAAACAAAATGTTGAATCTCAGAATAAGAACAAATGGATGCTGAATAAAACGTTTATTTTAATTTATTATCGAAGTAAGGCAAACTTTGAAACATATTTTCTCTTCCACGGTCAAATAATAAATATGACAACAAATATGAAACTATTTATATACACACACACAAAGCTTTATTAAGACCAGCGGTCTTGTACATATTCACCACAGGAAGAAATAATAGATGGAGCTCCTATGAAACTATTTATATATAAAACCAAGAGAAAAATAACTGAAGAATTTGCCTGTGCACGGGTAGGCCTTCATTAGACTATGTTAAAATCAAATATTAAAATCGATAATAAAACAGTGTATAAAATATATAGATATTTACAATAAAAATAAACGCTTTCCCCACACACACAATAACAATTTGATTATATTTTGAAAAATACTGTGTAATTATTGATCGCATAAAACACTGTGAGTGGTGTTTTTATTGAACAACAAATTGAAAGATTGAACCGTTCGTATTAGGTTATATAAGGTTAAATAACAAAATTGAATAAATATGCTAAATAATCATAAATATACGGATAGATAGATGTAAATATATAAAATAATTGATAAATAGAGAAATAAATATAATTATAAATATATAACAAAATATGTTCTATATATATATATCTGAAACAATACATAAATTAATCCTTACAAGATTCAAGAAGCCACTGTTAGATTATTCATAAGAAATACCAGAGACATCTATTTATTCATATTTCAAGTCTGAACTAATAACTACATAAAATATACCCCGTCAGTACATTGTCCGCAGGAATCAATATCAGAAGTCACAGATGCTTAAATTCACTAAACCCATTCATATTTCATGTCCAATAAATTCTGTATTAAACCGTTTGTTTACCTTCGACGCTTTGTACCTCGCAATTTCATATCAGTCCGTTAAAGTGCGTGTGCTTCAGAGCTTGCTCCACATGCTTAATAAAATAAATGTATTGTTAATATTTGTATTTTATTTACTATATCTATATATAGTTTGTTGTTGACATAAATATGTTATGATACCTTGAAAAAGGTTGGCGTTCTGCCAAAAAAAATGTGGGTAAATAAATTATATTTTGATTCAATATATGCCTTTTTAATTGATATCTATATGTATTGACAAATTCGCGGTTCCCTTTACTTATCAGAAGAGTTCATATGCAATTAAATTATATATGTAAATATGTTGACGGGAACAGTAGTATCAATTAATCCGCCTTCTACATGCTAGTCTGGAAGCATTTTAAGGCACAGTTGACGGGAACAGTGGCGTTTCTTTGTTTGGATAAATAACATTTCGACAAGATTACCATCTTTTATATTGGCCATAGGGTTAATTTAGCCATTTTGCTAGCTGATGGTTTGAAATATTATTAAGATTTTTCACGAATCCCATGTAAATCTCATGAAACCCAAGTCCGCTCTGGACTGACGAGTGCCATAGCCGTGGTCTCCGGGTTGACGTTACCAAGTTGGCAAACCCGGAGTTGTGGGACCGAACCGAGTCTTCTACTCTGCTGAAATGGTAAATAGAAATTCTTCTCAATTTTAACGTCTATTTGGATTGGATATGTGGGCTTTGATTTTATTGAAAATTAAATTAATTTGAAATTCTGCAGTATTCTACTCTGCTGAAATGGTAAATTGAAATTCTTCTTAATTTTAACATCTATTTTGAATGGATATGTGGCTTTTCATTTTATTGAAAATTAAATTAATTTGAATTATATGCATATGAATATAAATGTTTAGAGAGGTAAATTGTATTATTTTAGAATTATTCTCTTTGTTTATAATAAGATTAGTTGTTGAAAACACGGAAATAAAGAAGAGAACACTTTGATTAATATTTAAAACTTAAAAATGTCCTCGTTAATAGGGAAGTACTTCGTTTCAACTAATCTTAAGTTGGAGTCCAGTGATGGTTCTGTGGGTTGATCTCGACACTGTGTCCTACACTCGGCATTCTTTAAATGTCTTCTTGATCACCTTCTCTTTGCCCCAAACCACCGCTCTTTCGGAGAGCTAGCTTTCGTCGAAAATGCCTTTTTTGTATTTGATATGAAGAAAACAGAAGTTATAGGAGATACAATCCATAAATATTAAACCCTAATTAGAGTTGGACACAACTATCGGGACCGAAGATTGCTATTTGGACAGTGAAGTATGCACAAATATTTACATCCATCGTCTCCCGCGAGCTCTTGCCTCACTAAACCTCCTATACCCTCACGTATACAGGAACCAATACTTTTATATGTGAATCAGAACTGTAACAACAACAAAATAACTTCACAAATTGAGGTTAGAAAGGCATATTTTGGATAGAAATTTACTTTAAAAAACTACAGATCTCATAAGTAGAGCTGATAGAGAAAAACTGATTTCATATTTAGATTCAGCCACCCAAATATAGATACAGTATGTTCTAAAATCCTAGGCACCAAATATATATTTTGTAGCTCTGTGTAATTAACGCTTTTATTTCCTCAATAATTGACCCAAAACTTCTTTGGAACCATATAATGTAATAAGTGTTGTTTTTAATATGAAGATTAATTGAACCATTTAGTTGATTGTTTCCTTTACATATTGTATACCGATATTGATATCAACAATTTCTTGTTTTTGATTAATCTTTCCAATGAAGGACCACCTCTAGGAGAGACGACGAATTTCAATATTTTAGGACAGTTTCTAATGTAGTCTTTTTTTTTCTTGTTAATTTTTTTTCTAATCCGTATTTTTAGTAATATAATTTTATATTTTGTCCTCTCTGAATATTCTTGTCATGGTATATTGTTGTGTTCTCTACCTAACAAAAATAGCACTTGACGAACACTGTAAGGTATAAGCCATTTATTTCTATAAATAAGATACTTTCACTCTCCTCTTACACTCTATATACATCCAATCATTTTACATATTTAATTTTCTATCAGAAAATTAATACATATCTACATATATGCTGCATTTTTTCTTTAAGAATAAAATTTGCATATGGAATCATTACATATATATTACATATATATTACTTTCTTCAATATGCTAAATGGATTACATATATAAACTTGTCGTCCTTATAACCTGTTAGGATCTTGTGATTCATTCAGAGTTAATTTAACAATGGAGGTTGTGTATATAATAAACAAGTTTTAGTTACCATTGTATAAACACGATGAGATTCTGTTCTGGGTTCCGAGAATAAAATATAATCTCTATATCCTTTTATTCAGTTATATTGGTCATATCTCAGGTTTATTATAGAATTCCACTCCCCAAGAAAAAAAAATAAATGTTAAAAATATAAGTATACCTTGTATATAAATTCAATAGTTGACTTAAGTTAATCCTAATATCTATATATATATATAAATGAATGTTTGTATGTTTGTTTGTATGTCCGGTATACAAATTCGCAGTAGTTCACTAATTCAAACCAAAATTTCCATATATAGGTAAAAAATACGGGGAAGACGATAGGCTATTTTAAAAAATATATAAATCAATTATTAAAACTATATATTCAAATTATTCTACTTAGCTCACGAACAGCGCCCTCTATCAAAAATTAGATTAAATTATGCTGATGCAAACAAATAGATAATGCTAATAACAAAAAATTATTTTAAAAAAATCTTATCTAAATATATATCACTCGGGTAGATATGCACACGGGTCAATCCCGGGGCGAAGCCCGGGTCACCCGTCTAGTTTTCTATAAAAATCTTTCTTTGTATATAATAATAACAATAATAATTTCTTTGCATATAACTCGTATATAAGTATCTTATTATTATTTTTTTATATCTATATATTATTTTTTGCTAAATCTATAGAATATTACACCGCATGAGTTTCTTTTAAACGAAAATCGAAATTTTTATTTCAAGGTGAAATATCGACCATTTCTATCCTTTTTGGATGAGGTATGAAAGGGTGAATTATGAAGAGTAATGACGAACGGAAAAATAAAAGTGTCCAGGGATGGGAATCGAACCCACAATGTTCTGCTTACCGGGCAGATGCCATGTCCACTAGGCTACCCTGGACGTATTTTTCCGTTCGTAAATGATACATAAAGTAACTTATAATACAATATAATACACTGCTGCCTGTGATTGTAAAACGACACTTGAAGTTACACCGCATGAGTTTCTTTTCAACGAAAATCGAAATTTTTATTTCAAGGTGAAATATCCACCATTTCTATCCTTTTTGGACGTCCAGGGTAGCCTAGTGGACATGACATCTGCCCGGTAAGCGGAACATTGTGGGTTCGATTCCCATCCCTGGACACTTTTATTTTTCCGTTCGTCATTACTCTTCATAATTCACCCTTTCATACCTCATCCAAAAAGGATAGAAATGGTCGATATTTCACCTTGAAATAAAAATTTCTATTTTCGTTGAAAAGAAACTCATGCGGTGTAACTTCAAGTGTCGTTTTACAATCACAGGCCGCAGTGTATTATATTGTACTATAGAATATTGTTATAGAGAAAAAAATCGTCTTAAAAATCTACTCTGAGATATTTTTGCTAATTTATATTGAGAGATATAATTTTAAGTGATTATTAATATTTACCCTTGATGGAGTTGTCACCAGTAGAAAATGTCGGAAACCATTTGTCTAGATTGTGCCCGGCCTGAAAATGGCAGTAGGCCGTGGCAACTAAGGTGTCAATTAGTCAAGCCACCAAACTAAGACTTTAATATAGTCAGTGAGTATGCATAGACCTCGTACAGTGGAGTCTCGACTGAAGATATATTTTGGGGATAAAAAAGAAGACTCACCCCTTTCGTCATGTAGAGAAAGAAAAGAAAGATTACAATGTGCGCGCGTTCTTTTTTAAGAGCCCAGAAGTAGTTGAATAAAGAGAAGACAAAACTGTTTAGCTTTCCCACGCTGCGTTAGGCGATGTAAAAATAAGCGGTTCTCTCGTGGAAAAGAAGCCTTCTGTCAATGGTGAGCTTAGATTTATGGGATGTCTTTCCCCTCGTTAGCATGCAAGTTGATGGATGGCGCCTCTTTGTTCTAGCTTCCCTTGGTGTCTTTTTGTAGGCGCTAAGCAAATTAGACCCAGGCTGTTTAAACTGTCGTTAGCGGCTAGAATCGTGTGTTCAAATACTGTAAAAATATTTTATTGCCACGAGGAATAAATTGCTTTGAGAAGAGAGGTAAAGAGAGAAGCAGCTTCTTTACACAAGACCTCCCGTTAAAAATAGGAACCGACTATTGTTTCACCACGTCCGTTGGTACTGGGCTTCCTATGGTATGTCTGGAAGTCCATGTTGGTAGCTCCGACTGAGGTCTTAGTAGAGATGATATAATGTTACATGTGTGATGGACATGTTATATTTTGAGTGTTTTTCCAATTATAAAGCTTTTATTACTTAATAAACTATATACATATATTATTATACCCATGTGATTATATTGTACTGTTTATTTATTTTGATATTTATTTTTTACTACTCTCTAAACTAAGATGCTAAAGTTATCCCTCTTATGATCGTATCAAATTTAATTACATGATCAGTAAATGTAATCGTCGCAATTTTATCACCCGTTCCTTTCGTCTCTTTTTACATATCCAGTGCTAAATAATTAAAAAGTATTGGTTAATTTTAAATGTTTTTCTTATATAAGCTCTCTTGTATTCCCAATACCACTCTTTCTTAAAATTAAATTATTTAACATATATGTGGGGTTTTTTTGGGGGGGGGGGGGGTAATTTCCTCTTTTATTATACATTACCTTTTCCGTGTCGAAGTAGACACAAAATCACTGCTCCATATCTCAACTGTCTGTGTGAAAAGTATCAGAATCGAGTGGAAAACAAGCCATCAGTTCTTCCAAAGCTGGAGTTGGGTCAACGACCCGATTCTGACAGTTTTCAGAGTGTCGAGAAATGGCGTATAGATTTTTTCGTCAGTTTTGATAATAGAGATGATCCTTCCTTTTATAGATCAATATTTTCGCAGAAAATTTTTCAAATTTGATATAGAATGTATTTTTAAATTTCTAGATCAATTCTGAAGGGTGTGGATAGATTATTAAGTTCGCCGTATGATACACATTAGTATCATGGTTTGACTTATTGAAATTATAAAATTCATAAATTTCTGTCGTGGGTTTTTGATAAACCTTGATTCAATCAACCCACACACAGTTAATAAATAATTTCATGTTAAAATAAAAGAATGATAAGAAAATGCTCTATTCATGGCTTATACCAGTCCTACAAAGTTCAGCCAGTTTCAGCAGAATATGTAAAATAAATAAAAAAAACATAGACCAACATTTAACTATAACATCAAGCTACATTTTTACACGCTATAATGCACTTAAGAGATGTTTTATCGAAATCTTTTTGCTTGTGAGCTATACGGAATTATATAGACTTTTGAGACACACACATATGCATACGAGAGACAATTTAAAAGCTTTTATTAGCCCTCAGTCAACAGCATGGGATTTTAAAAAAGAATGAAAATGATAAATGATGTTATACACCTATTTACATCTTCAGCCTGGAAGGCTCCTCCACATTGAGAGAGATCTCCTTCAGACAGGGTCTTCTTGTGAACTCCCTTTAGTTCTGTGCTGAAGAAGAACTTGTATATGCATGCGTTGGCAGACCTCAGGACGGCGTCGTCCTACTGGCCTCCCCGCCTTTATTAGAATAAACACAACAACGTTACACTCTATTATAAGAAGAAATATATTATTTAAGTATACTAATAACGTATACACATTAATTTATGAATCAATTCCAACCTAAATTGGGATATATGTAAACATGGTGTAATAGGGCATCGCCTGGAGGCCTTATTTGAGCAAGAGCAATGCTTGAAGCATGTATATTTATATTTATACACATTTATACTGTCCTCAAAGTTCATGTCGATAGTTCGTTTTGAATTCCGTCAGTACCGGATATATAGAACCAAAATTGTCCGATACAATATTAGAGCGGTATGGTAGATGATATTAGAGAAACCGTTGGGAAGATCAACATTCATGTTTTTATCATTGTAGAGTGAGGGCAGAAGAAAATTGTTTTATTTTTAAGAGAAACGAGCGCATCCAATAAATATTTTATATTTTAAAATAAATTTGGGTGTTATGGAGACCTGCATTGTCAAATAATGACTTAGTTTATAAGTTGGGGTTATCAGGGCACAGAATGGTGTGCATCCCTTCAAGATACGATAAAAATCTTTAGTATAGGTTTAATCTTTTCTATTTGGATGACGCGCCCCAAAGATGCATATTTTATATTGGTAAAATGGTAAAATTGATTCGATTTATTCCTATTGGTTCTTGAAAAATATCTTAATATTTCATTTAATTAGCATATGTTTGAAGATGTAGTACCATTTTCTCTCTCGGGAATACATCAGTGAGCTTCTCTTAAATTATCGCAGGTAAATTACAAAAGATTTTTTAAAAATGGAATAGCCAATGACCTCTGAATTTCAATTCATCTCCAAATGTTTAATAGTGTTATACAGGTTAATGAAATTTATAGCAAAAACCTTTTTGAAATCAATTGTAAATTGCTATGTTCATATAATGCCAGTTTAACAAGCTAAAACTGAACAACAAAATTAAGATTTTTAAAGATGAAATTTATCAATCCAATATATGCTTTTTATTATCTAATACAATGTACTTGTATGTATAAATATATACTTTTTTTAAAATGATAGTATTGCTATTAAAGGTATTAAAAATATGGTTAAATATTTTGAAAAAAGAAATGTACGCAAATATATAGAGAGGGAGAGAAAATAGAGGTAACCCGGGCTCCTGGAGCGTAAATCACCAACTACCCGGGCTGTACAGCTACAGTCTAGAAGTCTAGTTATGGGAGGGGGCAGATTGCTGAGGTGAACCAGGTAACCAGGTAGTTCCATGCCGGCAGGGAGTCAGGAAGTAGGGGCAGGGCTGTCGGGCTGAAGTCTTGTACTCCAAGTAGTAGGGCTGTCTGTAGCCTGTGTAGCATAAAAGCTGGACAGGAGAAGAGGAGGTGATCCACAGTCTGTGGCTCTTCCCGGCAGTGAGGACAAGTTGGATCTAGATCTCTATGCCAGAGCGCTAGATCTGCCAGAACGTGGCCGTGACCGGTAAGGATGGTAGTGGTGGCCATCCCAAGACGTATTTTGAACAGGAATGACCTAAGGCGGATTGGGGAGGTCGCAAATCTTTTTAGTTTTCTGTTATGGTAATCCTGGGTGTAGACTAAGGTCCAAGCTTCCATAGCAGATGAGTGGGCACGGCTAGGGGCAAAGCTTTGGGGAAGGATGGAGTAGGATTGTTCCAGGTTAGAGATTGCTGCAGTCTTTGCTGCCTGGTCAGCCAGTTCATTGCCTGCAAAAATATATATTTAACAGTGAGAGAAGCATGAGAGTAAATAAGAAACAAAACTAGTATAAGAAAGTTAATAGTATCATTTTTTATGTGAATATATATATATTGAATGTATAAATAAATATTTTAAAGGTTAACGGCAATATTTAAAAAGGGAACCAAGCTTATGAATCGGCTTTTACACGTCATGTGCTTTTCCAAAAAAAAAAAAGAAACTGAGTTAACGAACCATATATTCTTCAATCAAAAAGAATAAAGTGAAAGAGTAATCTGAGAAGTAAAGTTTTTAAATAATTTATAAACACATATATCATTTTTTATGTTTTGTAAATTTTAAAATTTTTAGTTGTTTTGTTATTTTTATATATCGTTTGTTTGGCAAATATAATACTTGTAAAAAAAAAAAGAATATAGAGAAATAAAAAAATATTTTTATAGGAAGAGGATTGATTAGAAGGAATACTTTGAAATGTTGTCATCACTTTGTCAGCAACCATAATGTTAAAATTGCATGGCCTTTAAGAAGATAATGCTATTTATAAGATGTTTCTGTATGCATGTGTTTGGACATCCTAAAATTATAGTTATTTTAGCTAAAAATGTTTTTAAAAAAGCGGAGGGGTTGAGGCATAAGATAAAATGAATATTAAAAGATAAGATTGAGTAAAATATATCAGATCATCAGGGAAAATTGTCTTTTCAAAACATTTTTTTTTCTTTAGCTTTCGGGCACGGACGCCCTTCTACAGGAGAAAATATGGTATAATAATTCGCCAATAGAACACGAGTTAAATATAATCGGATACTAACTTTATAAAATGATGTAAAATAGTATCCGATTATACACAGTCTAGCCATAAATTCTGTTACAAACAATTTTATAAATAAAATGATTAAGAACAAAACTAATAGAATATA